TGTGCTGGGGACATCAGGCCCAGCATGGCCGGCCGGGCAAGGCAGGGATTGTCCCGCTCTGCTGGGGCTGGGGCGGCCTCACCTCGAGTGCTGGGGCAGCTCTGGGTGCCACAAGGTAACAAAAACATCAAACTGTCAGAGAGTGCCCAAAGGAGGGCACGGGGAGGGTGAAGGGCCTGAGGGGAAGCCGTGTGAGGAGAGGCTGAGGGCGCTGGGGCTGTTCAGCCTGGAGGGGACAGAGAGGAGACCTCAGTGCAGTCACAAATTCCTCCTGAGGGGAACAGGAGGGACAGACACCGATCCCTGCTCTGTGGTGGCAGTGCCAGCACTGAGGGATGGCCTGAAGCTGTGCCAGGGGAGGTTTGTGTGGGATATCAGGAAAAGGTTCTGCCCCAGAGGGTGGCTGGGCCCTGCCCAGGCTCCCCAGGGCAGTGGTCACAGCACCAGCCTGATGGAGTTCAAAGAGTGTTTGGACAATGCTCTCATGCACATGGTGTGACTCCTGGGGTGTCTTGTGCAGGGCTCAGTGTTGGACTTGATGACCCTTGTGAGTTCCTTCCAGTGCATCATCTTCTGTGATTCTGTGATTAACCAAGGAATGCAAATTGGCTTCCTTTAGCCATATAATTCTCCTAAAACTTAGTAGCATCTTGCAGGTAATTTTATTCAACAACCGAATTCAGATCACTTTCCTTTAGGTATGTAATTCTGGTAAAAGTCACTGATGCCTAAGAATTTATCTCAGCTTGCTTGAGACAAGAGGCTTGAATTTGAAGTGATCCAGAAATACAATACCTCTCTTGGAGGTGAACTCACTGGTTAGATAACCATATGGTTATGGGGTATCTGCTTTTGCAGGTGCTTAATTTTTTTCTGAAAGTAAGTTGTTTTTTTTCCTTTTCAGGTTATTACCTTGGTATGTGCTTTGCTGCACCTGAAAAACATCTTTGTTTTTTCTACCTGGCTTCAAAAGAGTGGAAAACTTTCTTCTTCTTTGCTGTTCTCCTGCCAGCAATCACCAGTGCCCTGGCATATTACTGGTCACGGAAAGGTTGGAATAATCATCCGCTAGCCCGGACACTCGCTGTTCATGCCCTCCCACAGTCAGGCTGGAGGACAGTGGCTTCTTCCATCAACACAGAATTCAGGAGAATCGACAAATTTGCTACGGGAGCGCCAGGAGCCAGGGTGATCGTCACGGACACGTGGGTGATTAAAGTGACCACCTACTGTTTGCATGTTGCCCAGCAGCAGGACATTCACTTGACGGTGACGGACTCCAGACAGCACGAGCTCACCCCAGACTCCAACGTGCCCGTGCAGTTCCTGACCATCCGCGTTGCCAGCATTAATCCCTACGTCAAGGCGTTCGATATCCGGTAAAACAACTGCTGAACCTGTTCTGTTGCTTGTGTGCTGTTTGATGGTGTGAGGGAGCACTTCTGTGACCAATCTGGAGACTCAGCCCTTCCTTTCTGGTCCCTGCCTGGTGTTCAGTGCTGCTCTGTGTGCACTTCTGCCATGCAATGTAGGGAAGGTTGTTTAGTGCAACACTGAATACACAACGGATAAACAAAGGGATTGGCCTCTTTGATCCATTCTTAGGGAGAGGATTGTGCTGGATGCAGAAGGAAGTAACTAGATAAAATAAGGTGAGAGATGGACAACAGGAATGAAAGGTAGATTTTTTAGTCTTTTAAATTTTGGGTGAGGAGAAATAGCTATTTTGTCTAAAACTGTCTGTTTTTCATCCACGACTTTGGATTTTTCTTTGTGTTTAAGGCTCACAATTTCATCACTGCTCAGAAGAGCTCTCACTGAGCTACTGCAAACCAACTGCCCCTAAAACAAGGAAGAAATTTTGGTCAGCCCTTTCTGACTTATGTGTTCTCACAGGAGTAAATCATAATAATTGTGAACTGTTAGGGCTTGTTTTGCAAGGGCCCATGCTGTTTATCTCATTGGTCTCTGTGTAACCAGGCTAAAGTACAAGTTCAGCAGAAACTTCTGCGTGCAAAAGTCTTTGTTGTTGTTAAAAACCATCTTAGTGCTCCTAAAATTATATTTGAAAAGGTATCTTTTTGCTGTAAATTTGAATGTCAGGAGCATTTATTAGGTAATTGAATGTCAGGAGCATTTATTAGGTAATTAAAAGCATGCACTTGTAGGTGTGCAAGTGGGGCAAGCACAAGGAAGGCAAAGAGGTGATTATGGTAGAGATCTAGGTGAACAGAACTCAGAACAAGAGGGTGGTTAAGGTAAGCATGACAATGCAAAGAAAAGAGACTTTATAGACCTGTGACAGTGATGACCAAATTAGTATTAAACAACTAATGATTTTCTTCTGCAAGCACTTCAGTGCCAGAGTACACCACAGCTGAGAAAAACATGAGTTGTTTGACAATTCCTTTTATGGAAAAAAAGTCCTAAGCCCAAACTGTATTTTGTGACTAAACAGAATAGCATCAAGAACAGTGTTTAAAAGCTGTTCTAGTAAGATGTCAGTGATAGTAAATCTCTGCTAGAATGTAGCAGAATCATACAGGGTCATTGTATATATCCAGAATCAAATAGAGTGAGATGTTTCTGGAAGAACAATGCTTTTGTGCAGGTGGGCCACATGTCTCTGCATGTTCGGTGTGAATTGTTCCTCTGGTTATAAATGTCTGATTTGCATGGACAGCATCTGTTAAATGACATTATCCTGTAGCAGTAAAAACTAAGCCAGCCTTGCATTGTGCTGGGCTCTGGGAATTCAGAGAGTGGTAGGAAAATGAGGGCAGTCTTCCAGGGACTTCTCCATGAAAGCTGTTTAATGAGTGGAAGCATTCAGTTGGAGAGTTTTGACACTACAGTTCAGAACTCTTAAAAAGGGATGACAGCAGGAATATATCACTGTAGGATCCTGTGTGAGGTCTCAGGTGCCACTTGAGTGCTGTGGACATCATTTAAATTTAATTTACAGAAGCAGCTGGTGTGAAACACAGCTTGCTGCAGCCTTAAATCAGCAGTGGTTTGTGACTTTTGTGAAATTTCTGTGATTTAGATTGTATCATAAAATCACAGAACCTGATAGATTGACATTCCTCTGCTGTTTGTGTAGAACTGTATCACCTTGTGATGTCTGCTGCATGATACAACTGATTTCTCCTAATTAAATTCTCCAAGAGTTTACAATTGAGAATATGGTCTAAGTAAAGAGGCATTAAAAAGGTGACAGAAATGGTGCAAACAGCACTTTGCAGTTAATGCATGATTTACATACCTACTTGGCGGCTTTTCTTCATGCTGATTACTTCAAAATCCTTCATTTTTGTATGATGTTTTAGCTGATCTCTGACATACCCTGCTGGCAATCTTGCACAGGTATGAATGAGGACAGCATGTTCTGTTGACCAAGTTGTGCCAAAACCAGTAACTAAATAAATAGCAGAAGAAAACAAGAAAACACAATTCTGTGTACTTATTCTGACGAATAAATGCCAGCTTTTCTGTGGATTCACTTCAGATGTTAACCTCTGCAAGGTATTTGGGTGGATAATCATGGTAACATTTTGCTGCATCTTCTCTTCTTCAGGTTGAACTCCACCGAGTATGGGGAGCTCCGGGAGAAGCTCCGTGCTCCTATCATCAATGCAGCTAATGTTGTGATCCATCAAAGCCTTAGTGATTTATTTTTAGAAACCTTTACATCTCTGGTGGAAATAAACCAGACATACCACGTTCCAAGCGCTCAGGTGAAACTTTCTATCCATATGAGACTAACAATTATATTTTAAATATGGATGAGCCTGTGATTACTGTGTAAATGATAAATGTTTACCTAGGGCTATATCCAGTGAATTATTAAGAGAATTCATTGTTGTGAGGTTAACGAAAAGGTTTTTTTTAAAATATGGATTAAATGACAAATTATGATTAAATTATATTTATCATGTGATTACCGCTTAATAATCCTCATTTAATAATCAAGCAATATTCAGCCAGTAATTAAATGGTAATTGAACAGCAGTTGAACACCCTGCTACTCTCTACATTTCTAACAATTCAGCTAGCTTGCATACAATATGTTTGAGACCTAATATAAACTGTTACTTACCTTTCTGTAGATAACAGACACCAAGTAAGGGATCCCTTGAGAGGTCTCCTACCTACCTGAGGCCACTCTACAGGAGAGCCCCATGGGCTTGGGGACTGCAGTCACTCACTTAGAGTCTGACTGGTGGTTAAAGTGCCCCGTGGTGGGGGTGTACAGCTGTAGGACTTACAGTTTCATCTTGTGATACTGATAAGCCCCTGATAAGACATGGCCTAGATTCCTTAACTTCCTGAGAAGATACAGCCAAGCACAATTTTTTTAGGGTCAGCACAGCCAAGGCTGACTCCAGTCAGGCCTCCTGGTCAGTGATGCCAGGAGCCCAAGTGCTCTTTGCTTAGTCAGGGTGATGCTTCCTTCACAAATGCTCACCTGCTGTGTCAGTAAATTCATCACAAACCTTAACTCTGGCTGCTGCTTCTGTTCCTTCTCTACAGGGAGCAAACTGTACTGTGAGCATGATGGTTTTGAGACATAAAGTCCCCCTGTAATAATTGCTACTAAAATGTTACATGAATACATTTGGAAATGATGACCTTGCACTTGCAGAAATGCAGGGTCATCATTTATGGGGAGCCAGAGCCACAGCTGCTGTTGCTGTTCTTTATGCAGTTTGCTCCAATACAGCTTGCTTTTCCAGACAGCCAGGTTCTACTGGATCTACCGCTGAAATAAACTAATGATCCTTAACTGGGGTTTGTTTCGATTATAATTATTATGGCTATTATTATATGGTGTTAATTATAACAGCACAGAGTCCTACTTCCAGTAATAGTCACAGAGACCTGGTCATTATTATACTTGTGCAGCAGCTGGAAGTGTGACTGCAGCGCTGTCCAGCGCATCAGAGGGAACCAGTTAAACCAGTACTGGTGACCCTGCAGGGAGTCTGTGCCCACTGGTTCAGCTAATGGAGTGAGGGGTTGGTATCTTTGCCAGTGTTGTGCAGCTTATATGGTTTGTGAACTAGCTAAAATAAAACTGGATCAGGTGTGTTTGCACATTATGTTGTGTGTGTGATTGCACTGCCAGCAAAGAGAGATGGTCACAGTAAAGAGAAGATATTAAAGCTGCTTTCTTGCAGAGCATTTCATTTGTGACACATTTAAGTGGCAGCTGAGCTACTGAACTTGGGTTTGACATAGAGTGATACATCACAGATGATAAGGATGTTAAAAATACACCATTGAATCTTTCCCTATTCTGAAGCTCCATTAATATGTTGAAAAAATTTGTTAATCTTTCTATGCTGGAATTTTTCCTGCTTAAAAGCCAAGGCCTAACTTCACAAGTTAAAGCTCAGTAGCTTGTGTTCATGTGGATCTGCTCCACAGCCCTGACAGGGCAGCTGAGCAGACACTTGAGCTGACTAGGGAAGAGTCACTGGAGATGGGAAATAGAGACCACACAGCTGATTTTTGTTCCACCAGGAGTATTTTGAACAGATTCAGGTCTCTGTGCCTATTCAGTGTGCTGTCTTCTTGGACAGGTAGAAGATCTGGGAAATGCTAATTACTGTTTATTATTTGTAATACACTTCACAAGAAGATACTGTCCCCATGTGCAACTGCAAGTTCATGTGGCATAATTAACTGTGGGCAAAATCAGTTATTCTAATTTTATCCAAGAGAAATTAAGTAAATTTCTGGACCTTCAGGTTGTGCGTCCTTGTGTTCAGTACAGCCCTGGTTTCTTCATTTATGTCTCTTAATTAGAAAGATGGAAGATAGGAACAGCCATTTGCTGTTTAAGTGTTTGTTTTCCTTACTTTATACTGGTCCATTTTTTGGAAAAATAGTTTGAATGACAAAGCTGACTGCTTGCTCACCTTGCTGTGGCTGCTAGAAGCTCTTCAGAGAGTGAAAGAACATTTATTTTTCAGTCATTTACGCTTAATCATTAGTGTCATGCAGCAGTTCTGGGTTTTCTGCTCAGAGAATAGTTTTGCTGTCATTTGTTAGAGAGTGTTCTAGTAAAACCATTTGATACTCTCTGATGGGGCAGTCCTGCCACAGTTGATTTTCTAAAAGCCTTTGAGAAAGCAGTAACAGGAACCGTTCTGTGCAGTTCCCACTTTGATGGTGTTTCTCCTCCCTCAGGAGCTGGAGCCTTGCATAGGCTGTATGCAGACCATTGCCAACATCAAGCTCATCAAGAACTGCCAGGAGCCCAACGAGGGGGAATGCCAGCAGTGCTACTGCCGGCCCATGTGGTGCCTCACCTGCATGGGCAAGTGGTTTGCCAGCAGGCAGGACCAGCAGCACCCTGAGACCTGGCTGTCCAGCCAAGTGCCTTGCCCGACTTGCCGAGCCAAATTTTGCATCCTAGATGTTTGCCTAATACGATGAATAGTAAACTTAGTATGTTTTAACTTTTTTAATTTGACTGTGTTTCATAGTGGCTTTGGTTTAAGGCCTGCTAGATCAGTTTCTGAGACTTCATGTTCAACCAGGGTACAAACTCTATAAAGGTTTCTTTTACAGTGTTGAAAACAGATGTAAATCTTTTTCAGTTCCTTTCCACTTTTACTTTATCTGTGGATTTTACTCACATGATGTCAGCTTCTGGATTTTAATTTTCTTTAAACCCCTGTTTTCCTTTCTTACATTTTGGATGGAATAAGGTTATCCTTCTATATTTGCAGTACTGTTGTTTTTTCAGGTTTTAACGTAGGTTAAATTCTTTATATTTTTAAATTTAACTTGGGTTTTGATTCTTTAATAAAGGGCTAACTGAGAAAACTGCTTTGGTTAGACTTCATTGCTACTTTTGTTATTCTTTAATCCAGTTTTAAAGTTATTATTAATCTTTGCAGTTGTTTTTCAAACAAGTGCACTAGTTGTGTTCCTTCAGCTGGAAGGAGGTATTTCCACTACATCTACCACAAAGGGTTGCAGTAGGCTGAGAAATGTAATCCCTGAAGATTTACAAATTCTGTATGGACCTTTTATTCCATTAATTTGCCTCTAGCATACCTTTTGATGGATGACTTTATTTCAAACAGAAAGGATTTGTCAACCCATTTACCTACACTGCTAATACATGGTTAAAATCTATTGGTTTCCAGGAGCTACATTGCTTAGGGTTTCAGTGTTCTTTAGGTGATGGGACTTTTTTTACATACATTTGAAGGGAGTGCAGCAAACATCTGAGCTTTAATTTGTAAATTAATATCACAGGTGGGTCAAACAGAGAAAGGAATACTTTAAAGCATGGAAAGGAATACTTTAAAGTATAAAATACTTTGGTCTACAAGAATAAAACCTCTTAATACCTCTTACCTGAATAATCACAAAGATCTTACCAGTAAATCATGGGCAGAGGTGGCATGCCAGTGATTACGTGACAACCTCTTGATTACCATGACAGGCAACCGGTTTGAGTAGGAACAGGTGGCAGGATGTAAAAATGGCACAAGTATTGGAATCACAACCATGAAACATTTCATGAGTCTCAGCTGAGCTACAGGTGGTGAATGCACCTACCTGCACTTGCAGCCAGCCAGGAAATGGTTACAAACGTGGCTGCAAGCAAGAATCCATAGAGGGGTAAAGAACTGAAGACAGATCTGACAGCATTGCTTGAAAACTAACATTTAATTGTTGGATTTTAACTCAGATCTGACAGCATTGCTTGAAAACTAACATTTAATTGTTGGATTTTAACTTTGGGATTTTTAAATAGTATTCATTTGTAAAACTCCAAACTGGTCGAGCTAAAGAACATTCATTGCTTCAGCATATCTCAGTTGCTTTATATACAACATCTACTATGCAATTAAGTAAATTACCTCTTAATAATAGTGGCTTCTGTTTTCCATTACCCGCTGTTTTGGATTGTATGGATGTACACAGTGAAAATTTGACACTGAGACAGGTTGTGTGGATTTATCTCTCTTTCCCAAAGAGATCTTCAGTGGCATGTCACTCTTCATCTGAATAGAATTAAATGGAGTTCTGGAGTTTCAGACAGATCTGTTGGTAAATCTGAAAACTAATAAAAAATGTAGGAGTCAATTAGCAATTGAATTTAAAATATTTTCTTAGTACTTCTGTGGGAAAGTTATTTCCAGATTTAAAGTGGTCTCTGCAGGATTTTTTAACCTTTGGAAGGGTCTTGCAGGGCAGGGTGGTGTTGTCTGACATGCACCTATCACTATACAGCAGCCTTTCACAAATAAGCATTTTGTAACATTTGCTTCTGAAAAGTTTACATAATGTGGCACTGACACAAGGGATTGGCCCTTGAAATTGTTGCAGAAGAGAGGGTAGGATTTTGGAGATGTAGTTTTGCCACCCCCATTCAGTTCCTACAGCACTTTGCCTGTTCAGAATAAAAATGTTCATTGTAAAGAATGTGAGGCTAAAATCGTAAAGGCTTTGAGAATCTCAGATGCATGTAGTTGCAGATGGTTTTATAGACTAAAGCCAGGTCAGTTGTCAATAGTATCTCATGTAATAAAAACTTTAAATGCCTAATTTCTATTATAGTGGAATCTATTCTGAGTTGACTCGAAGTTTTCACTTCAGTGGAATTTTGCTTTTGTTCATCCTACCTCTTTCCTCAATATAAAAGTACAATAGAGTAACAGTCATAAATGTTTTATACCTTTGCATCTTTTAATGCACAGAAGTGCCTCTTAGAAAACTTAGTAATTACCAAAACAAAATTATGATTTATGTTAATGATAGTACCTGACTTATATTCCTTAAAACAAGTTGTTTTCCCCAAGTTTAAATTCTCAAAGTAATCTGGCATGCCTCTGACATTTGTGAGCTTCTAAAAAGCTGTGTTAAAAACTTGTTAAAAATCCATATGAACATGAAAATAATAGAGTACAAAAATAGGCATTTGTTAGTGTGATAGCTTCAGGTTATCATCCAAAGAGCCACAAGGCCATTTCTTTAAGGTCCCTTCCAACTCACACCTTTCTCTGATAATATAAAACTTGCTAGACTGCAGCTAAGCACCATTCCCTTCAGGACAAACCTCAGTAAGACTGAGGTTCTCAGTGCCATTTTTAAATTTTTAAATTTTAAATGTTTGTGGACTTTGAGCTGTTTAAGGAGTTGAGATATAAATACTCAAGCTCTTACATGGATTACAAGACATTTTCTTCCAAAGACATCCTGCAGGATTTCTCATTTGTGGTTTTTGAGGTTGGTGGGGTTTTTTTGCTTGATTGCTTGCCTGTTTAAAATGAACAGTATTGTTTGGATAGCCCTTAGGGAAAAGGCTTAATGAATACATGCAGTTAATCTTAAAACCCTCTGAAGAGCTCAATAAAAATACAGTCAGTTCTTTGTAAGACTTCTGGTTTTAATTTTAAAGTTATGTTTACCAGGTAAAACTTTATATGGGTGGAAATCAGTCTGGCTTCTCTGTATGCAGTGTCTTACCTGAGAGCATGGCAATAGATACAAATAGGGCTTAAATTCTCCTGAAGGTGTTCATGGTAAGTCCTCCTTGGATGGATTTTCCTACTACAGCCTGAATGCAGAGGGTTGCATGAATGGAAGAAGGTGTGTATGAAATCTCTATAAGAACGTCAGGGGAAAAAAAGCCTCCAAATACTTTCACAACTACCAGATGGGAAGGGGTGACACTGGATGTCATGAAATCAGCAGGGGCAGTGACTAAAAATTTGTCTTTTCAAGGAAGCACTGGCATTGTAGCAATGGTGTGTCCCAGATAAAATACTTATTTCATTGTGACTTTGCTCAGATTTATTACCAAGCACCAGCAATAAAGAATCTATCACATTCCTGTAGTAGTGGACCTATTGGAGTGTATCCAGAGGAGAACCATGAAGATGTTCAGAGGGCTGGAGCAGCTCTGCTGTGGACACAGGCTGAGAGCAGGAGGCATTCAGCCTGCTGCATTGTCTTCACCAAGCCTGGAGGAGAGAAAGCTCCAGGGAGACCTTGGAGCACCTTCCACTACATCAAGGGTCTCCAAGAGGGCTGGAGAGGGACTTTAACAAGGCCATGGCAAGATAGGACAAGAGGGAATGGCTTTAAACTGAAAGGGAGTAGGTTCAGATTAGATACAGGGGGAAGAAATTCTTCACTGTGAGGGAGAGGCACTGGCAGAGGTGACCAGAGAAGCTGAGGCTGCCCCATCCCTGGAAGGAATCCTGTTCATGGCCAGGCTGGATGGGGCTCTGAGCATCCTGCTCTGGGGGAAGGTGTCCCTGCCTATCACAGGGGAGTTATAAGGAGATGGTCTTCAATGTCTCTTCCAACCCAAACCATTCTGTGATTTTGTGAAACTAGCTAGCCTGCAGCTAAGTACCATTCCAGTCAGGATAACCTCAGTAAGACTAAAGTTCAGAGTGCTTTTCTTAAGAAATGTTTGTTGACGTTGAGCTATTTAGGGAATTGAGATATAAATATTCGAGCAAGTTATCTTTAGAGTCCTTTTCAAGCCAAACTGTTCTATGATTCCATTAATGGTATGAAATGTGGGACACATTCCTGTAGCGTGTACACTGTGATGGCCACCAAGCCCTCACGACGTCAAGGAGAAAAATTATTTGTCCCAAAACGAACCCTTGGCTATTGCGTGAGGTAACGCCGTGATGTGCGAGCTGGGTTTTCCAGACATTTCCGGGCGGAATGGGCCGGGGATGCAGCCGGAAGGTGTGAGGGCAATACCGTCCCTGGTGTGAGGGAAGCTGTGCCCGGGCCCTCACAGGAACGCAGGTCGCTTTTCTCTCCTCCGGACCGAGCAGCGCTCCCTCAGCACCATCGCCGTTCTGGGCTATGCTGGC